ATGTCTAATGGTTTGGTTGGCCTCTTCTCCTGCATATTAGTGACCAGTGTCTGGAAAACTGGTTACTGGCAAGGTTTGATAGTGATCTAACTGAAGTGCAGATAGCAACGAACTGGATCAAACTTCATCAAATTCTTGGACTTTTATGCAGGCATAGTGATTTTTCAGCTCATGGTAGAAAATCTTTTGCACATGATTTCAGGAAGTGCTTTTAGTATACAACCAGACTTGTTTAGTGGCTAAGTAATGTCTGACTCTTTTGCAACCCCAGGGACTGTAGCCTGCTAACTCCTCTGTCGATGGGATTTCCCAGGCAAGAATACTGGAGTGGGTTGCCATTTCCCTTCTGCAGAGGATCTTGCCAGTCCAGGGATTGAACCTGAGTCTCCTGCATTGCAGGGGGATTCTTTACCACTGAGCCAGTAGGGAAGCCCAACCCACCGTCAATGCAGGAGCCAAATCAGACTTAGCCAAATATAAGAAAAATGCAAGTATGTATCAGTGACCCCTTCTTTTTTGTTGTTCTTAAGGAATCAAAGTAGGAAAATTTAATTTACCTGGAATTTGTAGATTTCCTCTTCTGTTATGAATGGAGTATCTGTAGCAAACCAGCACACACTCTGAAAACAAGTAGATAAAATCTGATTTAAAGGAATTCTATTTGAAGCCTTTGTACAACTACCAATGAAGTCAGGACACACAGAGCCAGTTCTAGAGAGAGGCTCATTGGAAGGAAACTAATTCTCTGCCTTTGCCCCTCAAGGCCAATTCTTGGCAAGGAACAAAAGGCTGAGAAGCTAGGTAGAGGGCAGATACTAAAGAGGGGGGAAAAAGTAGCAGCACTTTGGGTAATCTCTTGGGGTCAGGGATGGGGAGTTCAGTTCAGTTCAATCGCTCAGTTGTGTCGCTCTTTGCGACCCGATGGACTGCAGCACGCCAGGCCTCCCTGTCCATCACCAACTCCTGGGGTTTACTCAAACTCATGTCCACTGAGTCGGTGATGCCATCCAACCATCTCATTTTCTGTCATCCCCTTCTCCTCCTGCCTTCAATCTTTCCCAGCACCAGGGTCATTTAAAATGAGTCAGTTCTTCGCATCAGGTGGCCAAAGTATTGGAGTTTCAGCTCCAACATCAGTCCTTCCAATGAATATTCAGGACTGATTTCCTTTAGGATGGACTGGTTGGATCTCCTTGCAGTCCCAAGGCACTCTCAAGAGTCTTCTCCAACACCACAGTTCAAAAGCATCAATTCTTCGGCGCTCAGCTTTCTTTATAGACCAACTCTCACATACATACTTGACTATTGGAAAAATATAAAATAGATAGGCAATGGAAATTTGGTGTGTGACTCAGAACTCAAACTGGGGCTCTGTAACAACCCGGAGGGGTGGGAGGTGGAAAGGAGGTTCAAGAGGGAGGTTCAAGCCATACACCTGTGGCTAATTCATGTTGATGTATGGCAGAAATCAAACCAATATTGTAAAGCAATTACCCTTCAATTAAAAATAAATTTAATAAAAAGAACATAGATCACGTTATAAAGGGTGAAGTCCCATATGGTAGGTGATGGAATGTGGATTGAAAACAATTTTATAAAATGTAACAGTCAATGAAAAAAATAACTGATGAGCTAGGAAGCCAAATATATAAGAAATTCTACCAACTCCAAACAGGATAAAAATGAGAGCCACGACTAGGTACATAGCTGTGAAACTGCCAAAAATCAAAGGCAAACAGAAACATCATAGAAATGTCCAAAAGAAAAAAATTTCACATTGTATTCATTATTAAAGAACTAAAATACTATAATTTCCAATCTACAATTTAGTCCCTGACAAAATATCCTTCAAAGGGAAGGTGAAATAAAGGCCTTTCCAGATAAGCAGCATATCTTCACTAGAGTAAATACAGAAGGTAGTTTTTTGGGCAGAAGTTAGGTAATCCCAGAGGTTTCCCTGGTGGTTCAGACAGCAAATAATCTGCCTGCAATGCAAGAGACTTGGGTTCAATCCCTGGGCCAGGCAGATCCCCTGGAGAAGGGGAATGGTCCCCCATTCCAGTATTCTTGCCTGGAGAATTCCATGGACAGAGGAGCCTGGAGGGCTTCAATCCATGGGATCCCAAAGAGTGGGACACTTTAACTTTCACTAAGTGACCCCAAGGGAAACATGGAAATGAAGGACATGGATTGATGAACATTGAATAGGTTTCATATGTAAGTAAATCAAATAAATATTACTGTTCAGAACTATAATAATGTTGATTTTCAGTCCTTAAGTGGTATTTGACTCTGCGATCCCATGGACTGCAGCATACTGGGCTCCTCTGCCCTCCACTATCTATTGGAGTTTGCTCAAATTCATGTCCCTGAGTTGGTGATGCTATCTGACCATCTCATCCTTTGCCACCTCCTGGCTCAGATTGGTGGCCTTCCCTGTGGCTCAGATGGTAACGTGTCTGCCTGCAATGCGGGAGACCTGGGTTCGATTCCTGGGTCGGGAAGATCCCCTGGAGAAGGAAATAGCAACCCATTCCAGTACTCTTGCCTGAAGAACTCCATGGATTGTCTCCTGAGGAGCCTGGTAGCCGACAGTTCATGGACTCATAAAGAGTCGGACACGACTGAAAAGCGTCTGTCTGTAATGCAGGAGACATGAGTTTGATCTCTGGATTGGGAAGATCCCCTGAAGAAGGAAATGGCAACCCGTTCCAATATTCTTGCCTGGAGAATCCCATGGACAGAGGAGCCTGACAGGGTCTCAAAGAGTGAGACATGACCTGAGCGACTAACACACACCTCCTTTTGTCATTAGTCTTTCTCAGCATCAAGGTCTTTTCCAGTGAGTCTGCTCTTTGCATCAGGTGGCCAACTGTACATCAATTTAAAAACAGATAAGTACTGCCCACCCTAAAAAGAAAATAGTAACAAAGGTTGCTTATAATGAACCACGGTCACACAGATGCTAGGTGGTGTTAGTCTGTGGTGTTAAAACAGCACTTTCCATTTCATGGGCTTCCCTGGTGGCTCAGATGGTAAAGCATCTGCCTGGAATGCGGGAGATCCAGGTTCAACCCCTGGGTTGGGAAGATCCCCTGGAGAAGGAAATGGCAATCCACTCCAGTACTCTTACCTGGAAAATTCCATGGACTGAGGAGCCCGGTAGGCTACAGTCCATGGGGTCACTAAGAGTCGGACATGACTGAGCAACTTCACTTTCCGTTTCATAGCTATGACTCTCCTTTCTGATGAGTAAATTAAACTGTTGAAGTGAGGACCATGAGAATTTCTTATCTTTTGATCTACTTTGCACATCGAATACCCTATAATGTTGATGCTAGAATATTAGTGATTCCTAATGAAAAGCAGCACATTGTACATTACCATACACCTGTACCAGCCTGGTTTGTACCATCTCAAGTCAAATTGCTATGGCCTAAATCTTACTGGGTTCTGTCAAGGGCCATTTTCAATAGGCTTTTTGGCAGCCCAGGCAACTCTATTAAGACCAAAGTGAAAGAATAAATAAATATGTTAGATTTTTTTAAATCAGCACCAACATAAAGTATCCACTAATTATATTAAAGGAGATAACATATTTTAAGGGCTGTGATAAAGTGGAAAATAACTTGTAGATCCAGAATTCAGTTGAGAACAGACAGTAGTAGTATAATGGTTATACAGATTTTTTTTTTTAAAGCAAAAATAATCATCTGTAAATAGCAACGTTGGGTGAGAATGATAGTTTGGAAAGTTAAAATTGACTTCTTATTAAATGAAACACCCTACATGTATCCCTACTTCAAGGGAAAGAAATCCAACATTGCTTTGCTTGGGGATATATTAATAATTATGGAATAAAAAGATTATGATTAATGAAAAATTATTATGCTAAATTTATTAGTCAGAACATAAACTCCAGCTTTTGATTACTAGGCTCTTAGAAGAATATTAAAAAGCAAAATCTGGAGAGTTCCCAAAGAGAAAAGGTAAGAATCACTAGAAGTATTAAAAGACTCATTTAAGAAAAGCCATGAGAATTGTTTTCATTGAAACTATCTTCAAGAAAAGAAAAGATGTTGAGAAAATATTATTGTTTGGTGTTTTCTTTTTTAAAAATATTCATTTATTTAGGCCACACCACATGGCTTGTGGAATTTCCCAACCCTGGAATCGAACCAGGGTCTCCTGCATTGCAAGCAGATTCTTTCCCAACTGAGCTATGAGGCAAGCATGATTAGTTGAATACACAGATATTAAATACACAGCAATAAAGTGGTCTTTATTGATAGAGACATCCAGAGAGAAACAGCCTTGTGTTGAGTGTGGCAGGCCATTAGGAGGCAAGGCTTCCTGGGGTTTTATAGCTACCTCCACATTCTATGTATGATTACAATTTGCCACCAGATACTCTGAGTCCTTATCATGGTGCTAGTGTTAAGTCCCAGTTACTGAGATTTGAACTCTGACATCTCAAACTTTGTTTCTGCCTACATAGTTGTCAGAAGTTAGGGGTGATAGAGAGGCTCTGGTTTCTGAGGGGACACTCCCAGGGAACTTTATCTCAACTGTAAGAATCAAAAATACTTGTCCTCTAGCCCAGTTTAAAGCCCACTTGTTTTCATGTGTTTCCTTTATTGTTTGCTTGTTTTTAATGCTAAAATTTCTCTGAACCCTCCTCTTCCTCCTTATAGCAGCATCTGCCCCCACGTGCTGCATCTTTTCTCAATCCCAGTGGATCACCATGGTTCTTGTGGCTGATTAAGAACCCTTCAAGGGAGCACATTGTAGGTTTCATCGTTTACTTCCTTGTAGCTTCTGCTCTTGTGATTTTTATGCTCCTGGAGGACCCTTCTTATAATCCAACCTCTTTAAACCATTATTTTGTTTTGGTTCCTCTAGGTAGATGTGGAGGAGAGGCTAGTCATTGTGGATACCCAGATGCATTTCTTCTCTCTTTCCTTTTGAAGGAGGCAGCAAGAGGTTTCTTTTGTGAGAAAATGCTCCAACTGAAGCCTGGGATGCATCAGCCCTTGGAGAAGAAGGGATCTTCTGAGAGGAGAGTGAATGAGCGGAAGACTCAGCCTAAGAAAGTTGGATTCTCCTCTATGTCCTACAGAGAGTAAGAGACTCTTTGTTTCAGAGACTATTATAGCAGCTTTCAGGGTCTGTATTCAAGCTATGTACCTTAACTGTAGGGCTTTCTCTTAAGACCAGCCTGGAAATTCTTTAGAGAAAAGTCTATAGTATTTTTATTATAATTATATTATTCAGAGAAATTTGGTTTTATTCTAATTAACAATGCATGTTGTTGTTGTTTAGTCGCCAAGTTGTGTCTGACTCTTTTGCGATCCCATGGACTGTAGCCTACCAGGCTCTTCCGTCCATGGGATTTCCCAGGCAAGAGTACTAGAGTGGGTTGCCATTTCCTTCTCCAGGGGATCTTCCCTACCCAGGGATCAAACCTGAGTCTCTTGCATCTCCTGCATTGGTAGGCAGTTTCTTTACCACTGAGCCACCAGGGAAGCCTAACAATACATACATACACCAAATACATGATCTCATGGATCCTTGAGATCTCATGGAACTCTTCCAGTCACGTGAGTGGTGTCTCTTTTCTGCATTGATGGGAACACATAAGAATCTCCTGTTACATCATATGTTTTGATGGTGAAAAGTTGACCCATATTGATGCTGAAGAGGTGGAATTATACAGAGGCTCCTCCATCTCTACTGCTCATTCTCTACATTCTCTTCAGAAGCTCACATCCCTGGTTTCTAGAATAGCAATTTGTATAAGCTTAATTTTTTAAACTTATTTTTTATTGAGGTGCCACCAGTTTATGACATTATATAAACTTCAATGAGTACAATCTTATATTTCCACTTCTGTATGCACTACAGTGTAATTAGCTCAATTTCAAAAATAAGCTTACAAAATTGCCAAATAATGGCCTGATCACTAGATTTATCAGTCTGTCTTTAATGGCCATTTTCCTAAAACTTTTCAAAGACATTCCATTAGTGTAGAATTAATCTATTATATAATTACCTGTGAGCATCAGTTACTGAAATACTAAATCATCACTAACTTGCTTAGTGGTTGAGGATCAGCTTTGAAGGTGGTTCAGGTTTTGCTTCATACGCCATTGAATCTCTGTTAATATGTAACACTTAAATTTCACTGACCCAGAGAATAATGTTAGAGCTAAAATAACTTGAGAATTATTTTATAACTGAGAACACTAAGGCCCAAAGATACAGTTGCTTGATCACAATTGCACAGTAGACTTTGGCAGAAATAATATCAAAATGCTGGGCTCTCAGTTCACAAAGCCTCCACCCACTTTGTCAAGTGCATTTAAAATTTTTATATTGTCACAATCATTCTTTTTTAAAAATAGACTTTGTTTTTAGAACAGGAAGTTCAGAGCAAAATTGAGCGGAAAGTACAAAGAGTCCCCATCTACCTATCCTTGTCCCTGCACATGTGTAGCCTCTTCCCCTAGTATCAACACCCTGTACCAGAGTGGTGTATTTGTTGACATTTGTTGCAATCAATGAAAATCACTATCACTCAAAGTCAGTAGTTTATGTTCGGGTTCATTCTTGGTCTTGTACATTCCATGGGTTTTGACATAAGTATAATGACATGCATCCATCATACAGTATCATATAGAATGAGTGTCCACTGCCCTAAAAGTACTCTGTGCTCCACCTACTCATCCTTCTCTGCTTTCTAACCCCTGGCAACCACTGGTCTTCTTACTGTCACTACAGTTTTGGCTTTTCCAGAAGGTCATATAGTTGCGATCATATGCTATCTAGCTTTTTCAGACTGGCTTCTTTCACTTAATAATATGCACTTAAGATTCCTCCATGTCTTTTAATAGCTTGACTGCACATTTCTTTTAAGAACCAAAAAATATTCCATTTTCTGGATGTACCACAGTTTATTTATCTGTTCACCTACTAAGGAACATCTTGGTTGCTTCCAAGTTTTCTCAATTATGAATAAAGCTACTGTAAACATTGTGTGCAGATTTTGATGTGGACATAAATTTTCATCTAATTTGGGTAATCAGTGAGAGATGCAGTTACTGGGTCATATGTAGGAATATGTTTAATTTTGTAAGAAACTGTCAAACTATCTTCAAAAATAGCTATAAATAGCATTTTGCATTCCCACCAGCTATAAATGAGAGTATCTGTTGCTTCACATCCTCACCAGCATTTAGGATTGTCATTGTTCTGTAGGTCATCATTCTAACAGATGTATAGTAGTAGCTTAGTGAAAGTTAAAGCTGCTCAGTCGTGTCTGACTCTTTGTGACCTCATGGACTTTATAGTCCATGGAATTCTCCAGGCCAGAATACTGGAGTCGGTAGCCATTCTCTTCTCCAGGGGATCTTCCCAACCCAGGGATCAAACCCAGGTCTCCCACTTGCAGGTGGAATCTTTACTGTCTGAGCCACCAGAGAAGCCCCTAGTAATAGCTTACTGTTTGTAGATTTTTTTTCATGATGGCCACTCTGACCAGTGTAGGTGATACCTTCTTAGAGTTTTGATTTGCATTTAGTAGTAGCTTGCTCTTGTTTTAATTGGCAGTTCCATGATGACAATGATGTCATTGAAAAATGGGCAGAAGACCTAATTAGACATTTCTCCAAAGAAGACATACGGATGGCCAACAAACACATGAGAAGATGCTAAACATTGCTCGTTATTAGAGAAATGTAAATCAAAGCTATAATAAGGTATTACCTCACGCTGGTCAGAGTGGCCATCATGAAAAAATCTACAAACAGTTAATGATGGAGAGGGTGTGGAGAAAAGAAAACCTTCTCGCAGTACTGATGGGAATGTAAATTGATACAGCCACTATTGAGAAACAGTATGGAGGTGCCTTAGAAAACTAAAAATGAAACTACCATATGACCCAGCAGTCCCACTACTGGGCATATACCCTGAGAAAACCATAACTCAAAAAGACACATGTACCCCAGTGTTCATTGCAGCACTGTTTACAATAGCCAAGACATGGAAGCAACCTGAATGTCCACTGACAGATGAATAGATAAAGATGTGGTACATGTATTCAGTAGAATATTGCTCAGCCATATAAAGGAATGACATTAGGTCATTTTTAGTGATATGGATGGATCTAGAGTCTGTCATACGGAGTAAAATAAGTCAGAAAGAGAAAAATATTGTATATTAGCACACATATATGGAATCTAGAAAAATGGTACAGATGAACCTATTTTCAGGGCAGGAATAAAGATGCAGATGTAGAAAACAGACATGTAGACCCAGAGTGGGAAGAAGAGGGCGGGACGAATTGAGTGAGTAGCGCTGATGTATGCATGGATGTGCATATACATGTGCATTTACACCATGTGTAAGATGGGTGCTAGGGGGAAGCTGCTGTCTAGCGCAGGCCGCTCAGCTCAGTGCTCTGTGATGACCCAGAAGGGCGGGGGGAGGTTCAGGAGGGAGGGGACATATGATACACGTAGCTGGTTCACCCTGTTGTACAGCAGAAACTAACACAGCATTGTAAAGTGATTGTACTCCAAATAATTAATTAATCGATAAACAAAGTAGAACTAGAAAAGAAAACCACTTTTAGAAGTATGGGAGCAGGGGAAAAGATGATCTTAGAAGGAATCTTTTACCCAGAGACACTCTCTTATTTTCCTTCCTTCATTCCCTTTACCACATTCCAGTCACTAAACACCAGCTAGAGTTCCGCATGGGGACTCTATTGGTGAAATTCTCAGAGCACCTTCTGCTGAAGCACCATAATCTATCAGTAACCCCTTTCTATCCTTACCACTTCCCACTTTAGGAAATATTCCTTGATCCAGGATCAGGCTCGAGAGTTGACCCACCTGCGGGAAAAGATAAGGATTGGGAGGGCTGTCTCTTCCCTTCTCATCCAACATGTTCAGAACACAGTGAAGATCTTTGAAGAACTCCTCAGCAGTAGGAAGATTGACTATAACACGGAACAGCATTTCCGTGAGCAGCTGGCCAAGGGCAGCCAGCTGGCAGAGAGCCTCGCCAGCAAGTTCAACACAGGTAAGCCAGCCCCAGGGCTCAGGAGGGCCCTTAGTCCCTCCCCCATTCACACTCCCAGACCTGCACTCATTCACAAGTGACATTTCAATCTGGTGTCCTGTTCTGTAATCACCATCTTGGGGCCATGGCAGAGCCGGGGCTGGCTGGTGAGAAGCAACAGAGAGGCACACGGGGTTGGGGATGCCATGATGATTACCAGCTACTCCGTGTCTCCTGAAGTATGGCTGCTATAGCAGGAGGCCTCACTGGGGGTGACAGCATGTATCTGAAACTATTTGGTAGAAAGAGAGGTGGAATGGGGCAGTTGGTTGCTGTGAAAAGAGTCCTAAACTAGCAATCTAAAGACTTCTGCTCTAGCCTATATGTGTTCATTACTAGTTCTGGACATGTTCATATTTATTTTGATATGTTTCCTCACCTAAAAAAATTATACAAATTACTCACTCAATTCGTCCCGCCCTCTTCTTCCCACTCTGGGTCTACATGTCTGTTTTCTACATCTGCATCTTTATTCCTGCCCTGAATTATACAAATAATACAAGCCCCTAACTCTTGCATGATTGTTCTTAGGATCAAATAAACAATATTAATCAGTGCACTTGAAAAGAATGGTAAGAAAATTGTGTTGATTTGGGAACTGTTTAGAATACTGGTTTTTTTTTTTTAATGTGTCGGTTTTTTGATCATGAAGCATGTGGGATCTTAGTTCCCTGACCATGGATTGAACATGTACCCTCTGCATTGGAAGGTGAAATCTTAACCACTGGACTGCCAGGGAAGTCCCTGGGAATGGTTTAGGCACTAAATGTATAAGTACCTTTTGTGGGAATATTTATTATTTCAGAAGTCAGTTATATAGAATATTGCCTAGAGACATGAGGGCACATAGTAAGAGCTGGTTTGAGGCCATTGTGCAGGCTCCTGATGGCAGATGCAGAGGTGGGACAGGGTGGCTGTCACCTCTGTGGAGACAGGTTCTGCATGAAAACTGATGGGACCCACAGACATGGGACTGGGAACCCGCCCCATGGCAGGACTGGGAGGCTCTGGCTGGGATGATCGAGAGGCCGGCTGGACAAGTACCCCATGATCTGTGAGAAAAGAGGCATTTTCAACTTTTTGCTCTAACTCAGGGCAGAGCAAGTAGAGGTGACTGATGATCTTTGAGGTGGGTTCGGGAAAGTTTGTCAGACATGCTGTCTAAACACTCAACCCAGTGTCTCCTGAGAAAATTCAGAGAAGCCTGTACTTGAGCATCAAGCAGCTATGTGTCTCTGACCCCAGAGAGAGAACCCAGTGTGTGCTTGTATTTGGTAAATGAGAGCTGTTTAAAGTATGACTGCTCCTATTCTCAATTTGGTTTTCAGATGACTGTGTAAATAAGAAGAATCAAAGAGAACAGGTGCTGCAGAGACTCAGGTAACTCAGAATTTTCAGGGGCTATGAAAGATAAAATCTAGTCAAGAATCCAGAGCAAGGGCCAGAAGATCAGTGAAGCAGCAGCTCTCTCACCCCATAAAAACCAAACAGCTGATTATACCATCAAACCATTGTGTGTCCTTAGTGACAAGGTGGTCTCATTTCCTGTTTTTTTAGTTTATTATTATTCTGGTTCCAAGATTCACTCATTTAGTGAATTAGTAATTTGCTAAATTTACTAGTAATTTACTACTAAATTTACTAGTAATTAGAATTTAGTAATTTAGCTTAATTCACTCATTTAGTAATGTAGTAATTTAGCCTAACTCTCCAGTCTTAGGAGTCTCCCATCCTCCCAGGGATCACCTCTAGTCTCCCCTAGATCTTTAAAAGCCAGAGTGAGATCATATCTGAAATCTTTAAGAGTGAGCCAACAAGTGCTGGCAGATGTTGAATGGCTACAAATTTCTTTCAAACAAAAAAGATTTATATTATAAATATGACATAGATTTATATTATGTATGACTAGGGAAAGTAGAAGTCACTCCGTCGTGTCTGACTCTGTCCAACCCTTTGTGACCCCCATGGACCGTAGCCCGCCAGGCTCCTCTATCCATGGAATTCTCCAGGCCAGAATAACGGAGTGGGTAGCCATTCCCTTCACCCAGGGGATCTCCCCAACCCAGGAATCAAACCCAGGTCTCCCGTATCGCAGGCAGGTTTTTACCCAACTGAGGCACCAGGGAAGCCCAAAGAGGTCTGGAAACTACAAGACACCTAGAAGGGAGCATTGCCTCAGGAACCAATTTTAAATGGGCCACCACAAATACTATTTAATGGATTATGTCACAGGGTGTGTTGAACTCTTATGGGCCTTTGGGTGTCTTGTCAAAGTGTTAAAGAGCCTGATGGGTCTTCTCTCTTTCTCAGGATGTTTGTGACCAAGGCACTGGACACTGTTGTTCTCCCTGCCTCTCAACTCTCTACCCCCAAATATGAATGGATTGTTTGACTTTTCTGAAGGAACAATCTCCTTGACTCCTGGGGCCTCTCCTCTAAGCCCCCAGATCAGTATAACTGTGATGTTTGGGTGACTTTCACTTTTCCTCTGTCTTTCTTACTTCCTAGTATCTTAAGGGAGAGGCTGAAGAGGGATAAGAAGACAGAAGTCCTGCAGACCCAACAGGATGCCCAGCCGCAGACTTGGCCCCAGACCTGCTCCAGCAGCCATGCCCAGTCCACCACCCGTTACTCCCCTAGCAGCACCTACCTGCTGCTCAATGAACAGAAAGTGCGCCCTGCAGTGGACATGGCCAGTAAGTACCCAGAGATCCTCCAGTTTCTAGGTGCTTGCTTATTTGTCTAGACCAAGAGGAGGCACCTTGGCGGCCACACCCTGCAGACCTACTATGACATGCCTGATTGGGCACAGGTCAGGGATTCAGTGCCAGGCACAGGCTTCAGGGGTGTCAGATAGCTTTTCTCCATTCCTAGTGCCACACTTCATCAGCCACCAGACCCCCCTCAGGCATATACATGGTGCTGGATTTGAGGGGAGGGATCATGAGTTGGGAAGGGGAGGGAACAAATGCTCCCTCATACCTGCAACACAGTCATGTCACCTTTCAGACCACAGACATGAATGTCATTAACATTGGACCTCTGATCCTGAACTCCTTTGGGTAAACAGCCACAGTTTCTATTTTGTGTGTGTGTTAGTCGTTCAGTAGGGTCCAACTCTGGAACCCCATGGACTGTAGCCCACCAGGCTCCTTTGTCCATGGAATTCTCCAGGCAAGAATACCGGAATATGTAGGCATTCCCTTCTCCAGGGGATCTTCCCAACCCAGGATTGAACCCAAGTCTCCTGCATTGCAGGCAGATTCTTCACCATCTGAGTGTCCAGGGAAGCCATCTTTTTCTATTATTTATTTATTTATTTTTACATTTATATTTTTTACTTTTTCCTATTTTTATTCACCACTAAATATTTTCTGTCATCTGTGAATTTACAGATCTCACCCATCATTCTAATAATTCAGCTGTAATATCCTCTAAACCATCAGTTACTGGGACTGACTGAATCTATCACCATCATGCCATTCCCCAGAATTCCCCAAAGAGGGCCCTTGGGTAGCTTTGGTAAGGGTAGGAGGAAGAGAATAAGTTTAAAATCAAGCCTTCATTTTTCTCCTGCTCAGCATTCTCTTTATTTTCCCTCCTGAGGAAAGCATCTGACTTACACAGAGTCAGATGTGAACAACCAGGGACCAGGAAGTCCCTGGCTATGTATCTGTTTTTATTTTTTCTGACTAATTTAGGCATGTTGTTGTTTTTGTTGTTCAGTCACTCAGTCGTGTCCAGCTCTTTGCAACCCCATGATCTGTAGCACGCCAGTCTTCCTTCCCTCTCCTTCAACATCTCCTGAAACTTGCTCAAACTCATGTCCATTGAGTTGGTGATACCATCCAACCATCTCATCCTCTGTCTTCCTATTCTCCTCCTGCCTTCAATCTTTCCCAGCATCAGGATCTTTTCTAATGAGGCATGAATAAGCCATAATGGATTTTGACCTGGAACTCTTCCTGTTTCTCATTTTACATGAGAAGCAAAGCAGCATGTCTCCTCTTGAGTATAGCAGTCAAGGGAAGACAGAAAATTCACATTTATTGAGCATCCCGTATGCTTGTATTATTGATCACTATATATATGCTGCCTCATTTAATCAGGACAGCAATCCTTTTATATTAGTGGTGGTGTCCTGATTTTACAGCACAGCTAAGGACACTGAGGCTCAGTGAGGTCAGGGAACTTACTGAAGACAGTCCAGCTTGGAGTAACATTGACTGAGATCCTGGCTGACTCTAAAGCTTGGAGTGCCCACTGCGCTGCGGCCCGAGCAGTCATGGACCTAGCCGGGAGGGCGTCACCCCTGTGCACACCTCTTTCTCTAGGCTTCTGGAGCCAGTGTTTTCCCCATTTCACTCTTTCTTCCCCTATGCCCAGCACAAAGGCCTAGCCTCTGCAAAGAAGACAAGACTCTGTACACGTATACTTTCACCCATGAATTTATAAATGAATGAGTTTGGTTGTGGTTTAGTCACTAAGTCGTGTCCGACTCTTGTGACCCCATGGATTCTAGCCCACCAGGCTTCTCTGTCCGTGGGATTTCCTAGGCAAGAGTACTGGCGTGGGTTGCCATTTCCTTCTCGAGGGGATCTTCCGCACTCGGGGATCGAACCTGGCCCTCCTACATCTCCTGCATTGCAGGTGGATTCTTTACCACTGAACAAGCAGGGAAGCTCACTATAAATGAATAGGCTGCCCTTGTTATGTATGTGACATTGTCCAAGAGGCTGATGGGAATTTGTTGTGCATCCTCGAACTCAGTTGCCCAGAGGCACTTGGCTCCACCTCAAAACTTACCTGAGAGACAGCAGATAAAGGGCAAACATACCTTCTCCTTACCTGCAGTTCCTGCCACTACTTGTTAGAATGGCCACATTTGAGATGTGGCACATTTATGGCACTCTCAGAAAGTATCAGCCTTGTTTTCTATTATCTCTGTCTTTTCTGAAGGAGACTAAACCCTTCTTTTTCCCACCTGAAGTCATCATTTTTCTCAGAGGGGCAATGGTTTATCAATACTCCTTCTTTGGGGACCAAAATTTCTAGTGCCACAAATGATGTGTGGCAGCATCACTGTGAGACTTAATTCCTCTCCCAGGAGGCTCGTCTCTGCTGCTTTCCATGTACAGTATAGGATGTTTCCCGTGTTTTGTGGCAAGGGAAGAATGGGACAAGAACATGCTGATCACTGTTGCTGACCGACTAGAAACCTCGTATGCCCTTGGCTGAGAGTAAGCTGATTTTCTGGGGAGGGAATATAAAGGAAAAGATGGGGAATCACATTTTGATTGAGTTTCTACTTTAAGTTATGCCTTGAACTAAAGGCTTAACATAGTCTACCTTACTCTTCATTTCACAGCAGTGTTAGTTACATCTGATATTGTGTAAGTCAGGGAAGGATACTGATTTAAGTAAACAATTCCCGAAAGGAATTTGGCTTGGTTGAGGAAAATAAGACCTCACTTTGACCCTGCTCAGAGAAGAAACCTGACTGTTTTGTGGTCCTTGATAATAATCCTTGAAAGGAGAAGACTCTTAAACTTTTCTCTGAATTATGGTCCTGTCACCCAGCCGGGTTTTTTGTCTAAAGGGAACCAGCAAAGAACATGATATAAATGTTCTCATAGCATCATTGAGCTCTACAGTACCATTTTTTTTTTGTTCTATAATCCCCTATGTAAAAATATTGTACCCCAGTCATTCTTTGGATAGGAGCCTGACAATCTGAGCTATACTTAAGAATTCTTTTTACATTCTCATGAGCCATTCTGGGTGGATTGCAAATCACCACTTGCCTTCCTCAGACACCCCCTCAGCCTCAGAAGGTGTCCAGAGTCAACTCAGGCAGGAGCAGTGGGAGCCACCAGGAGTAGGCCACTCTGTCTAGGTTTGCTGCTCATCAGCCAAAAGTGAAGGCCATTTTCCCTTCCTCATCTTCTACCAACAATCCCAGTACAGAACAAGCTCAGGAAGGATCAGCAGCTGTTTGGTGGCAAGGGCGTAGACTGTTGGGTGAGAAGATCACACGTTCACAGGCCAGTTTGAGAGTGCTTACTCTCATGACTTCTAAGATGGGCAGTGATCCCTGCAATTGGAGGAGACATTTCTGAAGTACCTCTCTGGGATCACCCCAGCATTTGAGGATCTTGGAACGAGGAGAGAGGCCCCTGTACTTTTCCTCCATGTGCACTGTGACCCTCAGACAGTATATCTCGCAGCTGCTTCTTGATATCATAGGCCAGGAGTGCCAGTAACCTTGGGGTGAAATTGATAGTCCTTGGGAAATGAGTTCTTAGCTGATACTAAGCAATTGACTGATCACTGTTATTCACCTTAAAGTCTTCATTCCATGGATTGCTTTATCAATTTTCTCAGGCTATTGTAACACAGTATCACAAACTGGATGTTTCAAAACAACAGAATTTGTTTTCTCACAGTTCTGAAAACCAGGAGTCTGAAATCAAGTCGGCAGAACCATGCTCCCTTCTTTCTTGCCTCTTCTTGACTTGCTGGTTATGGGGAACATCCTTTGCCTTGATGCATCACTCCAATCTCTGCCCGCATTGTCACCTGGTCTTCTTCCCTGTGTATCTCCTATCTCTCTGTCTCCTCTCCTCTTCTTATATAGACATCGGTCATGTTGGATTTAAGGTCCACCCTAATCCAGTATCATCTCCTTTTAACTAATTAAATGTATAAAGACTCTATTTTCAAATGAGGTCACAGTCTTAGGTTCCAGGTAGACATGAATGTTTGGAGGATACTATTCAACCCAGTATAATGATTGTTAAAACACTTCATTTCTGACTTCCCCATTTGTTTCTCACTCATATCCCTTTCTGGACAGGTGTCAGCCCAGCCACGCCTGCTGATTCAGCTTCATTGCCCAGCAACCACTCAGAAGCTGTATCTGCTCAGCCCTTCTATCCTTTGGGTGGCACCGCAGAGCAGAGTGGGACACCAGACGCTGGGCATCATGGCAGCAGTCACCCATGCGAAGAGATGAAGCCTCAGAAGATGAATGCATCCGGGAACCTATCCTCCTCCTCCTCCTCTTTGGACCGGCCCAGCTCCAAGCCCTCTGGTAAAAATAACAAAGGAGCAGTTGGTGAAATACAGCCATTTACAGAAACAACACAGTCCTTTCCTGGCCAGAGGGTATTTTGTTCCTCAATTAAACCCTGGCTTACAGAAGTGGGTGAGAAGATGAAGGGGCAGTATCCCATGGGTCAGCCAGAGAATGAAGCCCCATCTCAGTGCTGATCCTTTCTATGTGCCTCTCATTTCCACTACTTACGGACTCACTCTGGGCAGGAGAATAAAGGAATGCAAGGGCATTCTGAGGCACTCTATAAGGAGGATGAGTTCCCTCACATTTGTGTGTTCCCTTTTCTCTGTGCTATTTTAGGTCTAGATCTAAGTTCAGACTTCCAAGGGGAAGGTAAGTCTTCTTAGATCAAGAGTTATTGCAGAATGGAAGACTATTTCTATACACACCTACAGAGAGAGACACACACACTTTGTATACAGTTATAAGCCAGTCCTGCTTCTCATTCTTTGCCAGTGGGTTTGGAGCCAGGCCTCCTGGCACTCAGGGGCTAGGGGTGCACCCATGTGGAGGAACTGCTTGGAAGCAGCCTGGTTTCAGTATGTACACAGTATAACAAAACAATATTTGAAATTCTCAGAGAAAAACCTGGCCCTAAGCACGATGTCCTGGTGAAGCCTATTTTTGATCTTTTTACCCTTCTCTTTGTGCATCTTTTTCCATCCTTGAAACTGTTCCCTTCTCTCATTCCTCCTTCAGGTCCTGATACCTCCCCAGACTCTTCCCGTCACCCTTCACCCAAGGAAAACATTCAGTGTCACTCATTGTTCACAGCCTGATCTAATTTCATATGCATATACCTTAGTTTTTTTTTTACTGGGTGAATGTTAAAAGTTGTTCAGTCATGGATCGTAGGGTAAGAGAGGTCTGACGTAGAGAGGGAGGCCCTCTGAATTTCCACCAAAGGAGGCGGACACACTTTCTCATTGTTAGGCCAGTCCTCCCTAGAGCAGTTTAGTGGTTTCTCACACTTGTTCACCAGCCCAGTGTCCATCTCCCTCAGATATACTCAACTTCTCTCTGGGAGGAGGCCTCATGGAGTTCCTAGCAGAAGGCTGTGTTGGGATTAAAAGCCTAGGACCACTTTAATAAAGTTGCCTAGTGCTTCCCAGGTGCCGAGGTGAGCAGAGGATGTTGACAGGAGTATGGATATGGGCAGGGATCTTGCAGAGGGTCCCATGAGGGATCCACCTTCCTCATTTCCTACCTCTCCCTGTCTTGGTGGTATGCAACAGGGGCTGACCTGCTGGAAAAGAATCTTATTGAGATCCAAAACCTGCGCCAGCGCCTGGAGGAATCTGTATTCATCAATGACCGTCTGCGGGAGAGGCTGGAATACGTGCTCAGCAATGCTGGCCAAGGAAAAGGTAGAAAGGGCACCAAAACCTCTGGGTTCTGTCCACATTTGGGGAGCCTCACAAGGGCATATAGGTTTGCAGCTATAAAGACATTGGTGTGCACTCCCCTACTCCTCCTCACAGTCAGCCCAGAGAGGTAAGCAGGGCAGGCATTTTTGTCCCTACTTTATTAATGAAGACACTAAGTGGTTTGCCCTGGGTGGGACTAGTTCTCATCTTTTTGCATTCATGCTCAATCACTCATTCATGTCCGACTCCTTGGAGACTCTATGGACTGTAGTCCGGCAGGCTCCTCTGTCCATGGGATCCTCCAGGCAAGAATACTGGTTCAGTTCAGTTCAGTTCAGTCGCATCCAACTCTTTGCGACCCCGTGGACTGCAGCATCCCCGGCTTCCCTGTCCATCACCAACTCCCAGAGCCTACTCAAACTCATGTCCATTGAGTCAGTGATGCCATCCAACCACCTCTCTCACCCCCTTCTCCTCTCGCCTTCAGTCTTTCCCAGCATCAGGATCTTTTCCAGTGAATCAGCTTTTTGCATCAGGTGGCCAAAGTACTGGAGTTTCAGCTTCAGCATCAGTCCTTCTAATGAATATTCAGGGCTGATTTCCTTTAGGATGGACTGGTTTGATCTTCTTGCAGTCCAAGGGACTCTCAAGAGTCTTCTCCAACACCACATTTCAAAAGCCTCAGTTCTTCAGTACTCAGCCTTCGTTATGGTCCAACTCTCACATCCATACATGACTACTGGAAAAACCATAGCTTTGACTAGATGGACCTTTGTTGGCAAAGTAATGTCTCTGCTTTTGAATATGTTGTATGCTGCTGCTGCTGCTAAGTCGCTTCAGTCATGTCTGACTCTGTGTGAGCCCACAGACAGCCACCAGGCTCCCCCGTCCCTGGGATTGTCGAGGCAAGAACCCTGGAGTGGGTTGCCATTTCCTTCTCTTAATATGTTGTATAGTGGCTTGCAATTTCCTTCTCCAGGGGCTCTTCCTGATCCAGGGCCTGAACCTGCGTCACCTGCGTCTGCTACGTTGGCAGGCAGGCTCTTTACCACTGCACCGCCTGGGAAGCTGTTCTCATCCTCAGGGCTATCTAATGCGATGCCCATTCTTGTAACTCCCTGTACTACTCGGTGCTGCCCCAGGGCTCATGCCCTGACTGGCAGATGGTAGGGCCAAGGCTTCCATGGTGCCCTCAGCAGAGGGAGCACCACACCCCACCTTCATGTCACTACCACATGCTCTGCATGCCGCCTGCCACCCTCCTCCCCCTCATGCAGATGGACCGTATTTCCACACTTTCTACCCAAATGTTCTCCCTTGTCATGATCAGGAATATGGTGACCAGGCCCCTGACATCACAGCAGCAGCCAGTTAGGGGGAAAGACTATGCTCCACAACTGGAGCCATTGACATGAGGGTGTGGCCCATAGTGGTGTGACTCAGCCACATCAGACTGTTGTCCCAGTGCATGAGGCTCCCAAGTTTTGCCGAAATTTTGGTGGGTGAAGGGAAGTATATCTTTGAAAGCATCTGTTACCCAAATGTGTGACTTGTCTGGTTTGTTTTTATTTCCAGAGATAGTATCTACCTTTGGCTTCCATGGATAGAACCCAGAGTCCATACCTCAGCTCTACAACAAGAAAAGGGCCTTGAGGGAAAGCACACTGGAGTTTTCAGACTTACCCAGGGCAAAACCTAAACTTGGTTACTTCCATATCCCTCCTTTCTGCAGCAATACTCAGCTGTAGAATCACAGAGAGTGGAGAGTACAAAACTTGCCCAGACTCACACAGCCTAATCTAGATAAGGTTGCTTCTTATGAGGTCCCACCTGCAAGTCCCTAGATTCATAGGCTCTAGGAGTGGAGCACACTGGGAAATTCACATTTCATGTGTAAGTCCCTTCCCCAGATAACCAGAGGGTTACTGGCTGTGAGCTGGATACCAGCTTGTTTCTCTCTCTACCTTTCCCACTTCCAGTTGCATGTGAATAAGGAGGGGAAAAAATGTCATTTTCTGTTGGGAGCAGTCATTGAAGAGAGTTCCCTAAATCCCTCCAGACCTCATTGCAGCTCTGTCTCTCCCTCCCCAGGTACTGCACAGTCAGCTTCAGATGTGTCCCTCATCACCCCTCATTTATACACTGAGAGTCACTCTTCTGGCTCTGGTAAGGACATCTTGTGACCCGACACCGGGACAGTCTGGAGGAGTGTTTTCCAGATTCTCCAGTCCTATTCAACAGCATTTGTGGGTGTAAACTTGGAGGCATCAGACATTATCTTTAAATGAATGGATCAGATTAATAAATTATTATTTAAAAATTATTTACATGTATTTATTGAGTGACTATAAAAAGTAAAATTTGTGTAGGAAAGAATAAAACCCATAATGGCCTGAAATTCAAAGAAAAGATTAAAGGAAAAATACATTTCCTCTATTATCTATCTCTATTTCAGAGAACTAGATCAGAAAGGCCAATGCAGGGGAAAAGTTAAATCTATTGAGAGTGGGCCTGTGGGATCCTTGAGCCCCATTACATGCTTGGAAAGAAAAAAAAAACTATCACATGTGAAAATATAGTGGGATAAAATCTGAATGTTAATAATGAAGACCATAAGCAAGACCCAGGTGAACTCCATTCGAGAGAGTGACAGAAACTGCTTCTCAGAATCATGAAGATCAGAGTTGCCTCAAGCCTGGAAATAGTAGTTGTTGAATTTTCAAAATGGTAGAAATAATATATGTTAATATATATAGAAGAGTAAATTTTATTTAGATCTTTTTCAAACTAAGAATGGATTGATGTTAATGAGATGACATGTCAGTTCAGTTCAGTCGCTTAGTCATGTCTGACTCTTTGCAACCCTCTGGACTGCAGCATGCCAGGCCTCCCTGTCCATCACCAACTCCCAGAGCTTGCTCAAACTCATGTCCATTAAGTCGGTAATGCCATCTGACCATCTCATCCTCTGTCGCCCCCTTCTCTTGCCCTCAGTCTTTTCCAGTATCACGATCTTTTCCAATTAGTTGGCTCTTTGCATCAGGTGGCCAAAGTATTGGAGTTTCAGCTTCAGCATCTGTCCTTCCAAATGAATATTCAGGACTGATTTCCTTTAGGATGGACTGGTTTGATCTCCTTGCAGTCCAAGGGACTCTCAAGAGTTTTCTCCAATACCACAGTTCAAAAGCATCAATTCTTTGGCGCTCAGCCTTCTTTACGGTCCAACTCTCACATCCACACATGACTATTGGAAAAACCATTGCTTTGACTAGACAGACCTTTGTTGGCAAAGTAATGTCTCTGCTTTTTAATATGCTGTCTAGGTTTGTCATAGCTTTTCTTTCAAGGAGCAAGGGTCTTAATTTCATGGCTGTAGTTACCATCTGCAGTGATTTTGGAGCCCAAGAAAAGAAAGTCTGTCACTGATTCCTTTGTTTTCCCATCTGCCATGAAGTGACGGGACCAGAAGCCATAATCTTTTAAGTTTTTGATTGTTGAGTTTTAAGCTAATTTTTTTACTCTCTTTCACTTTCAAGAGGCTCTTTAGTTCTTTGCTTTCTGCCTTAAGGGTGGTGTCATCTGCATATCTGATGTTATTGATATTTCTCCCAGCAATCTTGATTCCAACTTGTGCTTCATCCAGCCTGGCATTCCGCAGTCAATGTAACAACTGAAATGAAGTCTGTAGAAATGCACCTTGAAGCATTGAGTGAAGCCCTTCCTGGGGACAGTGTGGGCTTCAATGTCAAGAACATGTCTGTCAAAGATGTTCGTTGTGGCAGTGTGACTGGTGACAGCAAAAATGACCCACCAATGGAAGCAGCTGGCTTCACAGCTCAGGTGATTATTTTGAACCATCCAGGCCAGATCAGTGCTGGATATGCACCTGTGCTGGATTGTCACACAGCTCACATTGCTTGCAAGTTTGCTGAGCTGAAGAAGAAGATTGATTGCCATTCTGGGAAAAAGCTGCAAGATGGCCCTAAATTCTTGAAATCTGGTGATGCTGTCATTGTTCATATGGTTCCTGGCAAGCCCATGTGTGTTGAGAGCTTCTCTGACTCTCCTCCCCTGGGTTGTTTTGCTGTGTGTGACATAAGACAGACTGTCACTGTGGGTGTCATCAAAGCAGTGGACAAGAAGGCAGGTGGAGCTGGTAAGGTCACCAAGTCTGCCCAGAAAGCTCAGAAGGCTAAATGAATATTATCCCCCAAATCTGCCACCCCAGTCTTAATCAGTGGTGGAAGAACAGTCTCAGAACTGTCTCAATTGGCCATTTAATAGTAAAAGACTGGCTAATGATAACAATGCATCATAAAACCTTCAGAAGGAAAGAATGTTTTGTGGACCATATGTTTGGGTGTGGCAGTTTTAAGTTATTAGTTTTTAAAATCAGTACTTTTTAATGAAAACAACTTGACCAAAAATCTGTCACAGAATTTGAGACTCATTAAAAAAAAAGCTTAATGAAAAATGTAACATTTTTGCTACATTCAATTAAAGCTTTATTTTTTATGAGAATGAATGTAATCTATATTTTTTGTACTTTTTATTTTGTTTTGGGGTATAGCCAATTAATAACAGGACTCAGCCATACATATACATGTATCCATTCCTCCCCCCATAACCCCTTCCCATATAGGCTTCCATCTAACACTGAGCAGAGTTCCATGTGCTATACAATAGATTTTTGTTGGCTGTCCGTTTTAAATGTAGCAGTGTGTACATCCTAATATAAATTCTTTTTTAATACATATAAAATCACTGCAGATGGTGACTGCAGCCATGAAATTAAAAGACGCTCCTTGATAGAAAAGCTATGACAAACCTAGACAGCATATTAAAAAGCAAAGACTTTGCCAACAAAGGTCCGTCTAGTCAAAGCTATGGTTTCTCCAGTAGTCATGTATGGATGTGAGAGCTGGGCCATAAGGAAAGCTGAGTACTGAAGAATTGATGCTTTTGAACTGTAGTGTTGGAGAAGACTCTTGAGAGTCCCTGGGACTGCAAGGAGATCAGTCATGAATATTCATTGGAAGGACTGATGCTGAAGCTGAAACTCCAATACTTTGGCTACCTGATGCAAAGAGCTGACTCATTGGAAAAGATCCTGATGCTGGAAAAGACTGAGGGCAAGAGGAGAAGGGGGTGACAGAGGATGAGATGGTTGGATGACATCACTGACTCAAAGGACATATGAGTTTGAGCAAGTTCTAGGTGATGGTGAAGTATAGGGAGACCCCTCCATGGAGTTACAAAGAGTCAGACACAACTGAGCGACTGAACAACCAGAAAAAACAAAAATTTATATATATATATATTATATATATATAGTTATATATATATATCTGTCATATTTATGACAGACTGTATAATTTCAATACCTTTATACCATGAAATTTTTACACCCTGTTTTATGTCCCTGGATATGTTCCAATGGCTCCTAGTTTATAGTCTATGGGAACTTGAATAGAATTTGTATCCTGCTGTTGTGTGAAAATTGTATAAATCATAATTCTGTTGAATTGGTTCATAGTGATTTTCAGGTCTACTATATCCTTCTACTTTTCTGTCTATTCTATTTTTGAGAGTTTGATATTGAAACTCCAACTAAAAATCTTAATTTATCTACTTTAAAATAATTGTAATATATAGTGGAAATACATGTAACTTTGTTCTGTATTTTCCAAGTCTCCTGTAAATGTGTTTATCATTCTTTCATAATTTAAAATAATAAAAAATGAGGAAAAATAATAGTTTCAATCAACATTCTGTCAACAAGATGATTTCTCTCATGAGATCAGCCCAGGGCACAGAGGTAATTACATCTGTGGCTCATGGATCCACTAATTCCTTGTTGCTACTTATAGCTTAAACTGAAGGTAGAACAAAAGAAGGTGGAGTGACAGTATTTCACCGAACTGGAAGGAGAAGAGACAGTTCTACCATTGTTCTTATTTCTGTTCCCTGTACTTACCAATCACTAATACTTTTGTGTAGTCTTACATCTGTCCTGGGTTTGGTTGTTCTGATGGCCTTATAGACCTTCCTAATGCAGACATTAATTGACTGAAGGTCCCAGCTATGCTTTAAAATCTATCTCTGAGGCTGCATCTCCCATGGGCTGCTCCCTGCCAATAGCTGAGTGCAGTGGGGATACAAAGGCAGACCCACTCCTGGGAGAGACAAGACTCTTCATTGGCTGACTTTGGCTCAGTGACTCCACAATGACTTTGATGAACTTCATGGCAGGCAGTTTTGGACACCTTCTCTTCTCTTCCTTACTAAGTCAGATTTGCTTCATGACCTGAGGCATCTCTCATCATTCCTAAGTACCTTCCTATTTTCTTGCATACAGGTATTTTCCCTAATGAAGTCCTTGCACATTTAATTAATTCTCACCATTTACTTTTTGGAGCATCTGGAATAACATGGTTGTCATCCTGCCAGCCCGTCCTATGGCCATGTGTTGTGGGTACTTTGTACTCTGTTTTGTTCCAGACATAACTGTCTTAATATTACTCCTCCTATCTCACCCTGCCACACAGTCACAAGGGACTCCATGCACTGTTATCATTAGTAGTTTATTTATTAAGCCCACAAACATAGAAGGTGCTATGTTGATCACCCTTTATTAGTTTATAGCTATCTGACACATATCCATGAACATAGGACATTCAGAGAACAGAACAAAACCTTTAAACCAGAAATGAAGGAATTTCATACTGACATATCACACATTATGGGAATGCTTAGAGGTTTGGAAGCCATGTGATTTCTCAGCCTTAAAAAAAAGACGAAATCTTACCATTTGCTGCAACATGGATAGACTTGAGGGTATTATGCTAAGTGAAATGTCATTCAAAGGAAGACAAATAGCATGCAATTTCACCACATGTGGAATATTTTTTTTTAATTTTAAAATGAACCATCTGAACCATTCAAAAACAAACATGTAAACAGGTAATGGTTATCAGACAGGTAATGGTTATCAGAGGGGAAGACTGAAGTGGGGAGGGAAGAGTGAGGAAGAGGAGTCAACTGTATGGCCAGAGATGGAAAGTAAGACTATTCAATGGTGTATTTGCTGTAATGTATACAGAAGTCAAAATATAATACTGTACACATAAAAAATATAAACCAAAAAATAAGGAAAATTATATCCTAGCAGGGTACAGAGAGCCTGGCAAAAGCCAAGGGGGCAGCTGCACTTCCCTGAAGGCTTTCCCCTGAGACAGGTGGTTCTAGTGCTCAGTCTGGCCCAAGACCCCACCGCCCACCAAGGGAATTGGGAGGAGGCTGGTGGGCAGCCTGTGCTGTGGGGGCCAGGGATGACAGCCTAGTGGTGTTCCTGCAAGCACTGGCCTGCACTACCGAAGAGAGCTGAATAAAAGACTGCCTGGAATTTCTTACAGCCTGAAGAGAATGGGGCAAGAGGGGCCTCCTTGCCAGGACAAAACCTTCCCTGAGTCTTGGAGGACAAGGTCCCATGGGAGCTGGTTGAGCGGGAAATGCCAAAGGAAAAGAGCAATAGCAGCCCAACCAATGATCTTAGGATGTCTGCAAGTTCCTCACAAATGGTGGAGTAAGTCATGTATACGGAGAGAGAGTAAGAAAGCAAATGTGGGAAGATGTTAACTGGTGCATTGAGATGAAGAATATATGCAGTTACTCTTCTTGCAAATTTTCATAAGTTTCAGTGTACTTTTTAAAGGAATAATTAGTACTCAGCCAGTTTCATGCAGCCATGAAATTAAAAGACGCATGCTCCTTTGAGGAAAAGCTATGACCAACCTAGACAGCACATTAAAAAGCAAAGACATCACCTTGCTAACAAAGGTCCATATAGTCCAGCTAAGGTTTTTACAGTAGTCATGTAGGGATGTGAGAGTTGGACCATGAAGAAGGTTAAGCACCCAAGAACTGATGTTTTCAAATTCTGGTGCTAGAGAAGACTCTTGAGAATCCCTTGGACTGCAAGGAGATCAAATCAGTCAATCCTGAAAGAAATCAATCCTCAATATTCATTGGAAGGACTGATGCTGAAGCTGAAACTCCTATTCTCTGGCCACCTGATGCAAAGAGCTGACTTATTGGAAAAGTCCCTATGCTGATTGTAGGCAAAAAAAAAAAGGGGGGGGGCAGCAGAGGGTGAGATGGTGAGATAGCATCACCCACTCAATGGACATGAGTTTGAGCAAATTCCAGGAGACAGTACAAGACAGGCTGGTGTGCTGCAGTCCATGGGGTTGCAGAGTCAGACTGGCCTTAGCGACTGAACAATAACAACACAGTTGGTACTCAAGTCCCAAGTTCTCTTCAGATGGACACTGAAAGTGAGGCTTTAGGTTTCTGGCGAAGGGAGGAGTGGAGGTGAAGGGAGAACTGGAGGCGAGGGGCTGTCCCGACTGCTCCTCACATCTCCCCTAGGAGATGCCCTGGACCCTGGGATTCTACCTCATTGGCTGAAGGGTTTGATGCAGAGACTCCACTGCAACTGGACGGTGGGGCACATAACACTTGTGGGCAGGAAGTGAAGATTGCCGGACATGCAGCCAAAACTAAAAAAAATAATAATAAAGCAACCTTCCCTGACCGGGAATCGAACCCGGGCCGCGGCGGTGAAAGCGCCGAATCCTAACCACTAGACCACCAGGGAACTGCACTCCGCAGTCCTCATTAGTGATAACAGGAAGCCTGAAAAGACTGTGTGGTGTCTCTCGCCCTCAAGTTCTGAGTCCCGCACTTCTCTCCAAGGAATTGTACCCGAAGAACGTTCCTTCCCTGCTTTCTCCAAATGAGGAGCGCCACACCAAACGCCGAACACTCTGCGGGACAGTATGACGCGCCCGCGAGGTCCGCCTGACCCTCACGTCCCCACGACTTGCCCGGTTCGGGCGCACCTCACAACTGCCCTGGAGACGCGCCTTTTCCCGGCGAGCGCGCGTGGAGAGCAGGTCGCCGGGGCGGGGGCAGGAGAGGCGGGAGGGGAGCCGCGCGGATGAGATCTCGGGATCCCCAAGGTCACAAAAGACTCTTGGCTGGTGCAGGAACCCGGAGGGCTGGATACACGCTCGCAAACAAGGCTCCGCGCCCAGACCTGGATTCCGTCCGGTCTTCCCCCACGACCTGCTGCCCGGCAGTTCTCCCGCCTTGGATGATGCCATCTCCAGCTCCCCGGGCTCAGACCTCCGGTTGTC